TCGTTTATTTACTATCAGTATCTCAATAATAACTATTCATGCAACCACAACAGGAGCACGTAATTTTTACCCAGAATCAATAACTTAAATGCGATACACATTTGAGAGTCATTAACATATAGGTCTGGGGCCACATATGTATGGCTTCCCCCAAATTTATGCAAAATATTGCTTTATGTACATTTTTGTGGGGAGACAGGGCCATGTTTTTAGCAAATTCTTAATAGATGGGGAAAAAATACAAAGAGCAAAATACAACTTTAAACAAAACCTGACACCACTCAAAAATCTCCAGCAGCTCTTCTCACCCATGGGCAAAATCTTAACTTTGCTCATACGGGCATGCAGGCCCTTCACAAGCTGGTCAGCCTTTCAATCATCCTCTTAGCCTTTCAACTATCCAATCTGCCCCTTCCTCCTTCAAGCCCCAGCTCATGTCTCAAATAGCCTGAACTGTCCTCTCCTGATCACTATTTTCCTTTAACCGCACCAGACTTATGGTGTGGAAATGGCACAGTCATATACTGACTGCTAGGATCTTTAAAGCCAAAGAAATATGAGCCAGAGGGAACCTTAAAGATCGTGAGACCCAAAGTGGAAACGCTTACAGGGGCCAGGCCAGGCAACAGCTACTTTTCAGCTTCAGCCCACTGTTGCGACAAGGAATTGCTATGAGGCTCCAGTGCTGCCATATCTTGCCACTTCTCCAAGAAAAACTGGAACTCTAGATTTTTAAGGACATTCTCTACATTTTTTAAATGTAGACAACTAATTTAGATTTTCTTAAAACACTGTGAGGGTCAAACCAAAAAGATCTGTATGTCTGTATATATCTGCTGGTTTCTAACCACTGACCTAGACTAGACGTTCCCCACATGACCTCCACCCCCGACTTTTCAAGTGAAGAAACTGAGGCCCAAGAAAAGTCAAGGGTCAGAGTTGCAGGGCTCCTAGCAGGGCTGACAGGAGGTTCTGGGGGTTCTTCTGAATCTTCTACATTGTCATATCTCTGTACTATTATTTTCCAGAGGACCAAATATAGGCATTACGTATAGATTTTCCCTGTTTCATTCGTAACGGGTGAAATACCCTCTTCTCAGGAGTTCAAATAAGCCCGAGTTTTACTCACTATCGCAGGCCACTGAACAATTCGCTCACAAACTTCAGGAGACTTCCGTTCAGCCAAAACCAAGTTATGTTCCACTAAAAAGGCTCTCCTTAGAAGGCTGTAGACGTCTATCCATCTTCTCTTCCTCCAAGATTCCCCATCAAACTCCACACACACCTAAGACAAACAAAATTGAAGGAAAGCAGACTTGATTAACAAAAATAAACATGAAAAATGCCTAAGTTGAATTATACCCTCACCATTCTACTCGAGTCTTGTATCTGAATACGCTGCCCCCAACTCCTGCTCTCTTACTTCCCTTCTAAACCCACAATAAACTAACCAGATCTGTTAGAACCAACGAGCTTTGGCTCCCAAACCACTTTGGGAAGCAGAGTCAAGGGATATGGAGACCAGTCTCTGCCCTCAAAGTAACCTCTGGGAAGCCTTCACAAAAAAGAACCCCCGTGTAGAAGGTTTTTACATATGTTAATTAGACATCAGAGCTTTGAGAATTCAAAGACAGAAATCTGAAACCCAAAGTACTGCTCGCAGGGCATTGTGATTCTATGTTGACATTGTCAGTGAGTTTAAGATGACCGCCCGTCAACACAATCCACCACTGGCTTCTGAACCCCTCTGGTAGCAGTAGGACTCGGCACCAGGCGCTTTCAACACTTGGAGTTGAATAAACTGGGAAATTTACCTCAGAGTTTGAAATCCAAGACAACTTGGCTACATAGAGAAACAAGTAATTGATAAAGGACCCCAGAATTTTCCAAAACTACCTCTAACTTCTTACATGAAAATTAAACTACCTTTGAAATACTATTTTCCAAGTAACTGAAGTTTTCTGCTTCTGATCTGCAAAATACCTTTTAGCCCTAAAGTTAAAACCCTTATAATTTGTAGATATTTTAAAACATAAAAAAAGAATTCAGTCCAAAAGTGGGTCTCTGACAGTAACCCATAAGTAGGAATCAGTCACAAAACCTTAAAAGTCATATAAATGTACCAAACACCTTAGCTTCCTTAACCCATTATGAGTACGCTACCGTTTCATTTACTCTAAGTCTTTTAAAATGTTTCTTACGTTTTAACTGAGATACAATAAACTCCCTCAATATTCAGTGTAAAAATCACTATTTTGGGCTTCCCCGGTGGGGCAGTGGTTGAGAGTCCGCCTGCCGATGTAGGGGACACAGGTTCGTGCCCCGGTCCAGGAAGATCCCACATGCCGCGGAGCGGCTAGGCCCGTGAGCCATGGCCGCTGAGCCTGCGCGTCCGGAGCCTGTGCTCCACAACGGAAGAGGCCACAGCAGTGAGAGGCCCGCGTACCGCAAAAAAAAAAAAAA